CTTCTGGAGGTGAGATAGCATGTGTGCCACTGCTGCAGTATTCTGGTGGTGAAGTCGGTGTGTGTCAGAGTCCACGATGGTACACTGGGATGGAGAGTGACAGCTGTCAGGAGGGATCAGGCTTACCCTGCCCACTACACATGAAATCAAGGGAGAAGAGGAGTGCATAACGACAGGCTGCCTCTGTTTACTGCCTCATGGCCTTACCCTTATATAGAACATAGACTCACATATCACAGAGCAGTCATGGTACATTATTTCAACAAGGAGCGAATTGGAGAGAAAATGGAGGGACTTTTTTGGGCTCCGCTGGGGACATAAAGACTGTGTGTATATTGTATATATGTGGGTGTGGGTATGTATGCTTGTCCCTTCTCTTTCTTTCCCGCTCTGTTGCTCATTTTCTCCATTATATTTCCTTTGCCTTAAAAGCCTCCTGTCTAAAATCACTTCTCTCCTGACTCTAACCCCTAAACACAGCACGGCCATTTTCCTCACAAACAGCTCATTCCATATCCTGTGTTTAGACAACGCAATGAAATACAACCAGTTTGTCCACTCATACACCAGGGGCGCGGGAAGGAGTATGTATATATGTATGTGTGTGTGTGTGTGCATGTGTGTGTACATCAGGGTGGGGGTGCTGATGGACAGCACAGGCTGGTGCTGGTCTGGGGTTTAGATCAGTGCAGGGTTATCATTACTGACCCCCTGCTGTGTTTCCGTGACCCCCTGTCCATGAGTTTTGACCTTTAACTCCCCCACAACTCCTGTCAGTGCTGGGCTCGAATAGACGGGACCAAGTGGATTGGATCCCCTGCGGTGATGCCAAGGCACGGGACACACACATACACATACACACACACACACACACACACACACACACACACCATTTGTTGCTTACTTTACCCCACACCTTTTGTTGCTGTTCTTCTACCCCATGGTAGGAGCAGAAATTGGGGTGGGGGTGGGGATGATCAAGGAAAAGACAAACGGTGCCGCGGAGTCAGAGTGGAGACCGGGGGTGGACAAGAGAAAGACTGCTGGAAGATTCAGTGGAATGTCCACTCCCTATGCATCTTCTTCTCATCTAAAACTGTGTCTTCCACGTTTGACCGTTAATCAGGCCAGATAAGCTGGGTCTTTATAGGCCGAGCAGATTTACACCGCTCTGCTGGCCGGCTGGACCACATTCCCAGCAGAGACGGTGGGATAACACACTCACATCTTCTAGGTGGGGATAAGCTGGCCTAAAGGGGCCTCAACACACACACACACACACACACACACACACACACACACACACACACACAATACCGTACAGGAAAGGCAGGAGAAGTGTGTGGTGCAGGTGTTCGCTGCCCCACTTATGCTCTCCCAAAAAAACATACATATAACACCCATATAGCAACCTCGCATGGCCATTATCTAAATGATAAATGAAGTGTGTCATGGTGTATGCGCAGGCTGAAGTGGAATAAATAAAGCAAGCTCTTCCTGTTACAAAGGACAACAACATTAACATAATACCAAGACAAATACAACATCCGATTACTGCTGACGCGAGAACGTTACAGTATATGAGCCTAATGATGATCTACCATCAGGCTGGATCCTGCACGTCACGCCTCCTTTGTGAAGGATTTACAATGGGCTCTAGTTAGGAGTTCACAGTCTTAAACACTATGGAGCGAGTTGAGTATTCTAACACTTGCATAATACACACATCAGCAAGAATGTTGTTATACGACAGAGAGTGTTATATGAAAGCAAATTCAACCTAAAGTAAAGTTGATGCTTTCTCTTTGATGTTGGATCATACTGTAGTCAAGCATGCCCACGCACATGTCACTAATGGAGTTAGTTAAAATATTTATGATGTAATCAGGAGACAATATGAGGAGCAGCCCCGCGAACAGCCGGCTAGGAAAACTTTTAGCAGACGCAGAAAATGCCCAAGGTGTCTAAAGACATGTGGGTGTAATAAAGCTCAAAGAAATATTTCTTAAAGTCCACATGATATGTTGCCACAGGAGCGGCCCCCAAAAATTGTCGCTTGATAATATCACAAGCTTCATGCTTCCCTGCATTCTGGCTTTGAGGGTGAGTTCACAAATATCTATTGAACTTCTACAGATCAAAAGAAAAACATATGTGAGTTTTAATTAAGCTTGGATTTTTCCTTCAGAGGGAGATGATATAAAGACGCTATTTTTTACTGTAAGAATATATCTCGGGTTTGTTTTCTTAACATGGAGGAGACTTAACTTCATATCTTCTGAAGAATTTCAAATTTAATAAATTTTTCATCCACATTCAGATAAAAATGATAAATGTGTAAATGGATGCACATTAAAGAAAGGTTAATTATGTCATAGAAGATGTGACAGTATTTTATATTATACGTTCTCTTCATTCATTTCTTTTGGCCTGCAGAGCCTCTATTGAGCTTCTATCTGTGCCAGAAGTTCTTTGGCATGAGGCAGCTTGCTGCATGTTAGTTTAGACATTGCATCTCTAATGTCACGATCATCTCTGATCATTTCATTGATTCAGTGAGGAATCAATTACAGATGTGGCAGAGCTCCCAACTGACAGTATCCTGGAGCAGATCAACCACAACACATGTTATGATTTTAGAAAACTGCTCAAGTCATTCCAGGAAATGCAGGAAATGACTAACTAAAGTAAAAATTAGATAAGGCTTAGGTAATGTCTAGAATAACACTGTCTTTTGCATTATGAACTGAGCCACAGCATGTTAGCTTCTGTAGCTACTGAGCTAACAAGATAAAGAAACAACTTTTGCTTTGTACCTCCAACTAATGACTTCATTAAGGTCAACAAATCATATTAAAAGAGCAAAACCAACAACACATCAATTAGTCTGTGTCTGAATAGTTTCTGAATTCCTAATATCTGTGACAACTCCAAGCCCATTTGTTCCTTCTGAAGACCTAAATCTTTAAAAACAGCTTACGATTTTAAAGTTTCATGTTTAAAACAGATACTGTAAGTAATTTATAGCTTGGAACAGTAGTTTATTTTGACCATACTAAAACAGGAGTAAGTCGAAGCCACAAACGATTTTCTGTGTGAATCCACAATTTTGCAATCTATGGTACTAATTTGAAAAATTATGTGAATGACATAAATGACACTGGAACTAAATGATTGATAACACAGCATTTAAATAATTTAAACGTATAAATGAGATGACACATTTCCGTAACAGTATCCTCTAGAACCAACAGGTATAAAATTATAAAACTGATTCTTTTCAACCATTATAATAGGACTGAATCACCAGTAAGTGATGCATTTTTTCTGGGGACTATTTTCAGTAACAGATTTATATACATTTGGTGCTTTTCATGGGATTTATTGACAATTAGAAAAATAGAAAATGTCACCAGCTTTATCCTACTGTAAAATATGTAAGAGGATTTCACTGAATAACAAAATCATGGCAGATAATTAATGGCAGCTCTTGTGACCATAAACTGGGGTTGTGAAGAACAAATTGTTCTACAGATTATATGCATTATTTTACAATGTCCTAAGGCTGGTTTGCACTTTATTTAACAACAGGATACTTCTTTCCTTGGTGGCCTGAAGATCCACTGTGTTTGAGTACTCTCAAGTCTATCATTGAACTTATATTTGTGAAATGTTCGTTGTCACTTTGACAGTTTCTTTTGTTCTGTATTGTAACTTAGAGCAGCAAAATATCAATGAAGTTTCTTGAAGGAAGAGGAGAAATCTACAGACCCATCAGGGAATGTGAGAGAGTTTTTGCTTTTACTGGAGTTGTACTTTCAACATTTTCAGATGTACTTAAAAAAAGTAAAAGTAACTATCTTATTTCCTTCAAAGGTGCTGTTTGATACACCCACATACGATCGCGCTCTGCAGCTCTGCTGGCATATAAACAGTTACAAGTCACAGGTAAGACCTTATATCCTTCCACGCTCATACCAATATAAAATTCCAGATAAATTCTAATAGACTCTGTCTTTTCATGCTTAAAGATGACTTATCTACTCTATGTTTTTTAGATTGCACTGTTGATGCAACTCCTAAGGCTTCAGCAGAAAAACCAGATCCAATCTCAGGTGACTGCTGAAGACATGATTCCTTTTCCTTCCTTTTGGAGGAGAGCAAAAACTACGCCGAGAGAATTGTGAATTACTGAGACACATACATCATGCTCATGTCACACTAATAATACCCTAATAGAGTAGACAGTAAAAGTAAAGATAAAGCTTCTGTTGAGTTTCTGTTTTAAGCCTCTGGGAGTTTAAACTGGAGGATGTTGATGAGGAGGACACCAAGCCTCTTCTAATGCTGGTCTATAGACTACAATCCTACAAATAAAATAGATTGAAGTGTTACACTGTGCTGCTTTTATTCTCTAAATTTGACAAAACTACATTTCATATCTAAATGCATGTTTCATGTGTGGGCAGTGAATGCCAGAAATAAAATGAGGGATGTTGAATTTGAAGCCAAGACGCTCCTCTGAGGCCTTGCCTCTTAATTTTCACTGAGTCACATGTGACACACATTTATTAACAGTTAAAGTACAGTGGTTTTAATTTATCTGTGATATTCTGAAGGGTTTTGAAAATTAATTTTAATGACTGTAACCAAGGAGAACAAACGTAAAGACAGAAATAGAATTTCCTCAAATTAGTATTTCAGTAAACCAGTACTCAGTATATGTCCGTAAAAGATTGTAGGTTGCACATTTTAGGCGTCCTCCCTGAATGCCAGCTGCCACTATGCCATAAGTAAGGCACGTCACCTTCAGTTGTTGCTGTGGAACTGCTGCAGGGGCCATTAAAATGCAGTTTTACTAGGAATCTCCCACGTGTGTTTGTGTGTAACTGAGTGTGAAGCAGAGATTATTACTCAGATTGTTCAGTCAGGCTTCTCTGGTTAAACGAAGGTTAAAAAGCTAAATATCAACAATAAATCATCTTTTAAGACAAACTTACAGGTGATGAAGTAGTCAACGTTCTTCTTGAACTCCAGGCCCATGTAGTTGGGGCTGAACTCCTGGAATTTGATGGTGAACTTGATGTCCTTCTCCGGCTTGTTACAGTTGACCAGGACATTAGGATCGAGGACTGTACTGCAGCTCTCTGCCTGCTCCCTCTTCACTAGGTACAGCTTGTAGAACTCATAATCTCTGCCTTGGTCCGCTTTGGGACAGATGATGTCCAGTTTGTCTCCGATGTCTGGGTAGATCACCAGGCCCTTTCCAGTCAGAAACCTGAGGGATGACAGAAAAAAGAAGACAAATTGTTACTAACACATAATAAAGGAAGTCTGGAAAAGCAGCCACATAATTCAACAACAGTTTATACAGTCTTAATACTTTGAGCTATAGACGTTATGGGTTTAGATTTGTCTGGCATAGGCTTTTAGGCAGAGCGTAGTTAACTTGGCCACATAAAAACACTACATGTAGCAGCTTGACATTGTTCAGTGTTAGTCGACAGAGCGTTTCACACAAATCCTCTAAGGTTTTTTCCTCATACTTGGATCCAAATCAAAGCATACCAAAAGTTTACAAGGAGGGAAACAAGATGGCCAAACACAAAATGGCTGCCACTGATATGGCTACAGATAGGATTACATCCAAAGAATGCCCCCAAATTATTTTTTCATATTTTTGGAGTTTCATGTAAGACCTGTGCTTCAGCTTAATATCTACGCTGTTTCTACCTCAGAGGTCCGAATTTCTGGTAGAAAACAGTGCGTAGGGGTCAGGCAGGAGGTTAAGGCCTCCTGGTTCATCTTCCCTCTGCCATGATCATCTACTGGAGGATTAAGATAATCCATCTGGCCTTACTGTACCTCTCCACCTCGCTCTCTGCTGCCAACTCAATCAGATCAGCCCTTGTTCTCTTTTATTCAGTAAAGGTGGGGAACAGGAGGAGACCCACTGTGTGTGTGTAAGTGTGTGTGAAGAGAGGGGGCGGAGGTACACTGAGTACTTGCAGTGTGTTTGGGCAGTGGTGTGTATGTTTATGCACGTCTGCATGTGTGTGTATGTGTGCGAGTCGGTCAGCAAAATGGGCTGAGGTTGCGGTCTGATGGGGGGGCAGACGGGCTGAATCATTGTTCTGGACTTGTTTGAGGCTTAAAATGTCAACATGGTTCAGCTCTGCTGTCCCAGTTAGCCAAGCATTAACCCAGACAGCCGGACTGACCACGGGTGTGTTTATGTATGTGTGTGTATGTGTGTGTGTGTGTTATGGTCGCAGACAGCGAGCACAGCAGCGGGGCTATCTGCTAGATCTGCCCATGCCAGCGGATTTAAGCAGGATTTAGCAGCGCGCAATGCATTTGTTGTTCTTTCTGATCCCTCATGTTTTAACAAGACATCAGGGGCTGGGCCCCTCTCTGTCGCTCTCTGTCTCTCCATTCTTTTTCTCTCAGAGTGTAATCTCACCTTATCTACAGCCCCTCATTTCATCATCACACACATCATTTCACCACTAAATAACTGACTCCTCAGACAGGCCCAGAGAAGGGAGGACTGTGATGCCTCCTGAAAGAGACTGATAGAAGAGTGTGTGAGTGTAGGGGGAGCTTATGATCGCCGTCCTTCCGCCTATGATGTTAAACACTGGCGAACGGCCAGCCATTGTAGGAAACGATCATTTAAAAAGTCCCATTTTCTGAAGAAATACCCCCCATGAAAATGAACATGATTGGATTAAGGCCTTTTCAATATTCATGGCCATTCTTCTTAGACAAGGACATTACCAAATAAATGACTTCATTCACAAAAGAGATAAATGCAACATGAAATTGGCAAAACGGTCAGAATCCTGTCCATCAAGCCCCCCTTTTTTGGCGGAATATGATGTCATCAAAGCATGTCGGATGGGACCTCTGGTATAAGCCTTGGGAGCGGGTGAGACGTTATTTCCACGCTATTGTCTGATGCCCATGGGGGTGAGGAGGGGGCTGGGGGTGAGAGGAGGGGTTGCACTAATTCAAGGGCTGATAAGAGAGAGAGCGCGGGGTATCCTTTGTCCTACCTCTTTCAACAATTTGCTGGTTTTCACCAGCAACATTCATGTGCATGTGCTCATATGTGTATGTGTGTGTGTGTCTGTTTAAGTGTACATACGTTTTCATGCGTGTGTGTGTGTGTCTGTGCATGCATCATGCCAGGGTACATGTGCGTGTGTCGATGAAGACACGGACACAATCAGTCCCTAATTGGATCTACAAGATGCATCAGTGAGGCATAAACAAGTTTCCATGGCAACATTAGGCTTTGTTGCTGACCACCCCCTCTCCTCCCCACCTTCTCTCTATTTCTCTCTCAATCCCCCCAATCTCAGCCCCCTCTATTTCTATTCCCCAATCTCATTCCCTCTAGCTTTATCCTTCCCTCTCATTCACCTCCTCAACATTTCCCTCATTCTGTTTTCTCTCACTCCCCCCCCCATCCTATCCCCTCACCCCCCTTCTCTCGCTACACACAAAAAAAAACACCTACAGAAAAACAAGCGAGAAACCGGAGGGAAAAAAACAGAACTATCAGGCAAACATCACAATTAAACCTTGATTTGTTTCAGTCAACAAGTAGGTGTTTTCTATTTTCTAGCTTTTTGTAGGGAAATTGTTGGCAACTTTTTTTCAAATGTTCTGTTTAAAATACTTGAAAGCCTGGCTCTCAAATAAAACAATGAGCCTCACACCCCACTTTTCAGTTTTACAACCCATTTACTCCATTATCAAAGCGAGCCGCAACAATTCAGATGAATAATTAAGATTTCCAAAATCTTAATATCTTAATATCCCTGAAGGATTTAATCACAAGCCGGCCCCTGTCATTGATTCAATTTTCCGAGCAGGCCTCCTAGTTGGCGGTTAGATAGCTATCCTAAGTGAATTCTCTGCTTCTGTTTCCCAGCCTTTGTTAACTGTCTGCTATAATGAGGCTCTGGCTGCTGTGGAGGTCTGGAAGCGCCATCGCAGATGGGAAAGAAGCAACATAAAAGAAATAGGGCAGCAATTAGTGTTTAGCCCAGTTTAAAAGCCCTCCACTTGGCAAGCTGCGGCCCAGCTCCAGTCCAGGATGTGAAACTAAACTGGTGGGCTGGGACTTTGTCTCCCGTTTGTCTCTCTGTTGGCTTAATCAGCGCCACTCCGGTGCTACACACAGCCACGCAATGGAGAGGAGGAGACGAGTGACTGAAGATTATTGTACTTTTGAGGAGGTCGAAAAGGAAAAAGGGGCGAAAAGGGAGGTTGAATTGCATCTTTCATTCATGTTGTCTGGAGACTTTATAAGACCTGTTGATGAAAGAAGTTTGAGTGCACAGAGGAAGAGCCGCGCAGATACAAACGATGTTTCTGGGAAATGACCCTGAACGTGAGAGACCCTTTATTCCCCTCAAGTCCAACGAGGTGGATCTGCCTGAACCAAACAAAATAAAGAGAATCATTTTCAAAACAACCAAATGAGGTTGGTTTTGTTTCATCTGGACGGCTCCACGGCGAGCTCAATCCTGTAAAGAGCTTATACAAACAGACCTACACTACAGCACAGCAGAGAGAGAACAGAAAACAACGAGGCAGAGGAAAAAGAGAGGCGAGAGGAGAACCCCCTCCTCTCTCTTTTTACATTCCACTGGTGAATATGAGCACATGATCTCACATATGCTACAACCCCCCCGCCACCTCCCATACACATACACACACGGATGTGAGAGCCCACAAAAGCACTGTGGGGTGCATCCTGGACCTTCCCAGCCCAACTACCCAGCCACCCCTATTCAAGGACCCTGCCCTCACCGACTTTCATATAAAACGCCGCCTACACTAAGGCCCACTCAAAGCCCCTTACAGAGCCCCAAATCAGCCCTCCCCCCCCCCCCGCCCCATGTTCTCCACCCCCGTCCAGTCAACTCAGGCCTCTGCCCCGAGCATACCACTGGCAGGCAGCCTCGGCTGCTGAATGAATGGACCCGAGTCACAGGAACTGTGAGAGAAAGAGGCAGAAACGGCTCATATCAACAGAATGGTGTCAAATTGATTTGTTCCTCCCAAGCAGCATCATGAACATGCCGTACATATCAATTAAAATCAGTTATCCTTCACCATGTATACAGGGCAATCCATCTCTACCAGCGAGGAACATGGCAACAGCCCGGATGCAGGTACTACCTCTTCCACTTACGGTCTCGCTTCTGCAGCCTAACATTCAATCTTTCACTCTTTCTCTCTGGCCTTTAGAGCATGAGTGTGTCATGTGAAAACAAACACATACACACACTCCACACACAATCATCACCACAACAGGTACTCTATTCCCCTTGCTCTCAGCGTGGTAATTATCACGCCAGGAAAAGTGTTCCCTCACCAATTATCATTTCTCTTTTGCATTATCCACAAAATCCGTGTGGCTGCTTCCTCCCTATTATTACAGATGACACTTTCAGTACGGCAGCCATATTCACAGCCGTCTCAATCAATATTCCATAGGCTTACAATTCAGATAAATTTTATGGCTTCTCATGAAACATTACAGTAATTCACCCACATGACAGTGGTTACTCTTAAGTCTGTTAAGAACACAAAGCTGTGTTATGCAAAGAGTATTATAGATGAGCTCTTGTGTAACATCCAGTATATTGGTTTGAAGCTGATTCACTTGCCAGAGGCAGTCTATGTTTTGTGTAATCACAGGGTACAAACGCATCCTGTTCTCATTCAAGTCAATCAATATTAAATAATTGTCCTTAGCAGGAACTGGTTCAGCTTTAAACCACTTTCAGATCCATCAAGATAGAGCCACATGCCTTACAATGGAGACATTCAAACAGCAGCTTCTGAAATGGCTTTCCTTCTTGATGTGTGGTTAAGATCCACAATACGCTGTTGACACAGTGTGATCATTTCATACTTGGGAGAAAGGCACGTATCATCTAACTGTCAGTATGTTTGTACAGCTCCAGAGAAATTCGCCGCATCTATAACACTGTCACAAGAACTGTCGGTTATCTGACTAACGGGTCTGAAACCAGTTTGAACCATCTCCCTTTACTGTCTGACGCGACGCTGCATGAAGGTGAGCCGGTCATAGGCCTGCACTCGTAGCCAGCGGCTCAACCCGAGTGCTTGTATACATAGCTGGCTTCTGTCAGGCCGTCGCAGGGGAAGATGTTCTTTGGGAGTCCTGACTGTAAACACACACACATAAACACACGCCCCGCAGAGTACACACACCAGTTTCCTCACATGTCA